TATAATGTACATAGTCAAACGCTTGCGTCATGTCACAAAAGATAGCACAAATGGGGTTTCGTTTATCGACACTACTGGTAATACTATATAAAAAATCATAAATTGCCATATTAATGGTTCTATGCTGCCTAAATCCTTTTTGTTCGTCACACAGTATGTTATTTTTTTCAATATATTTATGTATTTCATTGGAGATATATCTTTCAAAAACCTTTGAGATAACCGGTATGAGAGAAATAGGTCTATAATATTCCATCAACTCCTTATTCTCCTTTTTAAATAACGGTTTAATTATAGATATTTTCAAAGCATCGGGATAAATACCCGTACTGATACTAAGATTTATTATGTAACTTAGGTGACCGCTTATCTCAGTTGACGCTAATTTCAATATGCTAGTGGCTATCCCATCATAACCCACACTACTTGTGTTTCTTAGAGACATTATTATCTTATGTATATCGTATGGTATACTGGGTGCCATGAACATTGATTTCTGTTTTGTGGTAGACGTACATGCCGATGGTTTATATTTAGCATTTATTTTCGGTTGAATTTTGTCTACAAAGAAGTTATTAAAAGCGTTAGCGATATCTAAGGGCTTGCATGTAATTTGATTCCCAACTTTAAGTTTTTCTATTTGTTGCTTGGGAATATTGTATTTAGTTTGGTTTATTATGTGCCATGTGGCCCTTGATTTATTTTTTGATTGTTGTATTTTATAGTCATTCTGTATTTTTTGTGTCGATTTAATAATTTAGAATACTTAACAAATGTATTTTTATTATCACTGTTAGGTTTCAGTCTATATCGCCATAAAAGTTTTCTCTTTTTCTTACTGCAAAGTTTTACTCCACGCGACAGCCATTTAGGTTTATTTAATATATTAACTTTTAATTCTCTCAAAGGAAAGCATAAATCATAGAATAATTTAAGTGTGTTTACAAATTCATTATAAGCCACATTTGGATCATCCATAAGATATATTTCCGCGAATGTAAGATTTTTCAGACTATTTTTGAATTTTTCTTTATTCTTAATACTGTAATCCCTTCTGGTGATATACCAGTATTTAGTATTACCTACATTGGGTAATGGACATTGTAGTAGCTGTGCTGTATGATCTGATAGAGCTAATTCTAGTACGTCTGTTTTACAAGTCTTTTTAAAGTTATGTGCGAAATTGTCTATACATGTGCCGCTAGCTATTCGTGTTGGTTGTTTAAGTGCAAGTTTCAAGTTCGAACTTAGTAGCAGACACTCCAGTGCAACAGAATGATTCTTTTTTAACATATCGATGTTAAAATCCCCCGCAATTACAATATTCTTAGTGCGTGTGTTACAAGTATATTTTAATACATTTTCAAGCTTATCAAAACAATAATTTATATTTCTAGCATTAGGTACTCTATAAATACATATGACAATCAATTGATAATCAATAAGCTCAACAGCACAACACTCAAAGACTCCTGGCGATGATAATTTCGATATTTGAGGTATTTCCTTCCATTGGTGACAGTTCTTAATAATAATACATGCTCCTCCTCTTTTTATTTCCTTTCGACTATAATGTGCAGCTAAACAGTAATTCGGAATGTATAATTGTTTTTCATATCCTTCCATGATAAAATGCTCAGTAATACATACAATTTCCACATTTACATTTTTATCTAACATTTTATTTAGACATACCGTTAGAGCATTGGATTTATTTATTAAGCCAGCAATATTTTGATGTAGAATATTAATGTATTTATTGGAGAAAAAGCTGTTCCTTTAGTTCATTATCGCTGTTGGTTGTATTTTGTTGTAGAATTTTTAATTGTAGATTATATAAGTCAATAAATATAGTTTTCATGCCGTAGTCCTTTAGGGCCCCATAGCTAGTGTACATAGAATGGTGATAACTTAAGTTCAAGTTGGAGTCCAGAATATATGCGTGTTGATGCGTAATAATGTCCAAATATACCATGTTGTTAAACGTCTCTAATCTTGAATTATATAAAATATTATACTTATTATTAAATTTGTATATTGGCAGAGTAATAATTATATTTGTGTCATCTGTGGACTGGAATGCGTATTTTTTTGTTCTCCACAGGTTTTTGCCACATTTTCTTTAGTATCTATATTTGAAATAGTGTGAAGCTAAGGTACTCAGCAGTTATCAGGACTATTATGTGACAAACAACAACGAAGCCTGCATACATAGGCACCCTTAATCGCAAAAAATTAAGTGGCAACGAACAATATGATTCTATTATTTTTTAGCGGCACGCCTCGTCTTAGTCACTGCTGCTTTGGCGGCTGCTGCTGGCTTCACCACTTCATCACTAATAGAGTCGAGTTCGCCAAGTGTCGTTATACGATGCCTTTTATTATCAGGACCCGTAATGTTGATAACACCCTGTCGGGTCCAGCACTTGGCTATACCAAATCTTTGACGTGCAGACATAAAAACATGATGTCTTGATTTCGTAAGAAATTCTGAGACAGTTACCCCAGTGCCCTTCAAGTTTGTTTTAGCGAACCAAATAGCGTCTCTGGTACTGACTTGCTGAAACTTGACAAGTATAGGCCTGGACTTACCAGATGTTGATATCCGCCTAATTCTTTAGCATCTTTTTATATTTTGAAGAGTGAAACCGCTCACTTTACATTGTTCACCAAAGATTTTACCAGCGACCAATATAATGTTTTCATTCCTCTCCTCGGGTACACCATGAATCAATAACATCTTTCTCCTGCTCCGAGTCTCCATGTTATCTGCAGTCTGAGCCAATATTTGAACCTGCTGTTGGATATTATTGAGAGCTTGGAGGACAAACATTTTGAAGGTTGCAAACTCGGTTTCAAGATTAGTGGGCGATGCGGATGAGCCAGTTTCCTCTTGGAGCTTGTCTCTTGCCTCGAATTCTGACATGCGAGTATTAAACATGACATTCATGTCAGCGATGGTTTTGAGTAGGGACTCCATATTATCCATATTGTAATATTAAAAAATTAAAAAAAAAATGTTTTTATATGTTACGTGAAATGTTAATTGTTATCTATGTTCCAAATAAACGAATAAACTAACTGGTGGCACCACAAATCCTAACAAAACTAATAATCTCGGGCGCCAGGTGCCTTAACCTTAAATGAACACAGACAACTAACAACAAATACAAGGAATGCCTCGAACAGCTCGGTCAGCGCTAGACCTTTAATCTAGGATGTGGGGCAGCTATTAAATACAAAGATGTTATAAGTTTAAGTGGCAGTTTATTATCCCGTAGTGTCTATCTTATAGGTCTAATTACAAATGTAATTCTTAACTCAAATTAGTACTGTCATTAATGCAATTTGTTTACCTTGTTAAAACAAATTAAAAGTAAATATTTTTTAAAGTGTCGCATAAAGACTGATAAATAGGAAAAGAATCTAAGGGCAGTTGTCACAACGACCTACTCCCATAATAAAAATAACACCCCTTGGGGCCTGCAGTATCCGTTGTAACAACGCCGACAAAATTAATACAATAAAAACGTACCCAATGACTTTGGCTCTGTCCGTATGAAATTAGGGCAAACTTAATTCTTATAAACCTCACTCGTGCTCCCACGTGGTGGTAGTGGCGGGGTAAGTATTCCAAGGTTCCTGATAATGGGCTACAGCTAAAGAACTTTTCCTGCCATTATAGGTACACACGCTCCGCAGCAAACTAAATCCTTGGATCGGCGGGTAGTGAGGTAAAAACTAATTGTAACGTAAGGACATTACAATCTAATAAGAGAATTAAACTAGAGGTTAAGTAAAGAACTGAGGTAAAGTAAGAAAGAAACCCTGTTGTCACTGCAACAACGAAAATTATAGGTTATTTGCCTAACTCCAATGATGAAGTCAAAGTTTGGTAAGATACAATAATTTACTCACCAGGGTTCCAAAACGTTTCACAAATAAATCAGAGGCATTATTAATAATTCCTGTAACCAAATAAACAAAGATTTAAAACAACTAATCTCCATAAGCCAAGTATGAACCACGTGGGCTTATTAAAACTTACCATAAAAGCAATTTAATATTTCCAATAAAAAACTCGGTTGCTTAACAAGACTGGCCAACAATAAAAAGTGGATTAATCCAAAAAGATTACATTTTAAAAATTATATCTTACTCCGACTCAGCCAAAATGCTAAAGTGATCCTCTCATGTTGCCAGAGCTAAAGTTCCGTTACTACCTAGAATGCGACAAAAAATGTTGCCAGAACAAGAAAAAACCAAAATCGATACATTACCATAGTCGATTAGCACCGACATTAAATCTCGTCCGAGACGCCGTCAATCGGAGCTTACTGAAACGTCATAAAATTCAACTGTCAAACCAAAAACACGTCGATAAGTAAATTTTCTGTAATGGTGCGAAATGCACCGTTACAATATATGCAGACAACAAACTTGTATTTTATGGAAATAACACTTTCACCGGCAGAAGGTATTATAAGGTTGTAAAGTCGATCATCAAATGTGTATAATTTATTGTGAAAACTATTTTAATTACATTTTTTTTTTTTTTTTTTTTTGTTTAAAAAAGACAACTCCCGCATTAGGAATATATCCTGTGTCGCGGGGGACTTTACAAACATACATGAAACGGACACAAATAACACCCAGACTCAGAACAACAATTTGTGGATCACACAAAGTGTCGTCCTATGTGGGGTTTGAACCCACAACACTCGGCGTAGTAGGAAGCGGCGTGGCGACCGCTTAAACCACTGCGCCATCCGTGCAGTCCATATATTTATATGTTATGCAAATTGAATACCTATTTACCGAAACGTTTTGATTCGTTCACTAATTTTCAAATTTAGTGCGATAGTTTATCTATTAAAATGATTTGTTTTTTTTTTCAGATTCTGATTGCACTTATAGTTAATTATAGTTAGTATAGTATAGTCTAGTTAGTTATAGTTTTTTTATTAAGTGATTGTCAAGTACACGCAGAAGAAAATAACATGGAAATTAATCCATTGATTACTTTTAACGATTTGGGAGTTGGACTAGCTTCAAACCAAAACAGCTACTTCTGCTTAGGTACTTTCATGCTATTAAGTATTTTATCTATTATGCACTATTTACTTTACTCGACATTTTATTTTATTTAATCTATGTTTTTTTAGGTTCTGATATAACTGCTGAGGTAGATAATAAGAAAACAACTAACAGGGATTTTACTCCGATGTTTTTTTATATGTTTACTTACTTTTTACTTGTTTTTTAGATGCTGGTCGTCCTGCAGTTAAATTTGGTGAAAATAATAATGTTTGGTTTTCAACATTTAATGTAACTCCTGCAACGACTAAAAATTTTCCTGTTTCACCTGATATACTCAATAATGTGAATCAATCGTGCAATCTGGAAAGACGTAAATTAGATATTATAACAACAGATCCATGTTCGATTGGCTCCTCTCATCAAAATTTGTCTCTGTCTAATACTGCCAGTAATTTAGAAGCTCCAATTATGACTGATACTTTAGACCAAGAAAAATCTATATTCAATAATAAAGATCTGTCGTCGTGCGGTATGAAAAGACAGGATCCAGCTATAAATACAGATCCATGTTCGATCGGCTCCTCACATCAAAATGTGTCTCGTTCTAGTACTTCCAGTAATTTAGAAGCTCCAACTACGACTGATACTTTGCACCAAGAAGAACCCTTGCTCACTAATGAAGATCCATCGTGCAGTTCCGAAAGGCGAGAACCACAGGTTCCAACTGATCTATGTTCCTCCGCGCAAGATAAGTCAACGAAAAGAGTATATCCAAAAAAAAGTTGTCCTGGTAGAAAAAGGCAAAGAGATCCAAAAAATTGGAAAATGAATAAGTTAAAAACACTTCGAAATTTGGGATTAGAATATACTAACAAAAAGGAAAATTAGTTAAAAAGAGAGAGTTGGGACCCAGATGTAAAACTGATAAAGATTGCATAAGAAAATGTCACACAAATATTTCTAATGATCACCGAACAAACTTATTCACACTATTTTGGGCAATGGGTGATCACGACAAACAAGTTTTGTATTTATCTCGGTTTATAACTAGAGTACAACGAAACACAGTACAACTGAATAACATTAATTCTAGACGCCAATATACTTATGAGTACTTACCTGCTCTGGGAGAAAAAGTGAGAGTATGTAAAAAAATGTTTTTTAGACACATTCAGTATCACAGACATGTGGATAACCACGATGTTCAAAAAAATGGACGAAAGTAATGAAGAAGTCATTGCAAATGATAGGCGTGGTAAGCATTGTAATAGGGGGAATGCAATAAACGAAAATATCAAGATTTCAGTTCGTCAACACATAAATTCAATTTCAGTCAAAGAGTCACATTATGTAAGATAAAGAACATCGAAACTTTATTTTGAAGAATCACTTACTTTTCCTAAACTGTACTCTCTCTATGCCGAATGGATGACTGAAAATAAACCTAATGATGCTAAAGCTACCCAAGAACAGTACAGACAAATATTTTATAAAGAATTTAATTTAGATTTCTTCAAACCAAAGAAAGACCAATGTTTAAAAGGTGAGGTTCACCAAAAAGCTTCAGAGTCAGAAAAAGAAACCACAGCAATTGATTATGCATTACATATAGCAAATAAATCTATCGTACGTGAAATAAAAGAAAACGATAAGGCTGAAGCCAAACAATTGAAGAAAACATTGATTACAGCATGTTTTGACTTACAAAATATTTTAACTACTCCTCAGTCCGATGTTTCAACCTTCTATTACAAAAGAAAATTTCAAGTATTCAATTTCACAATTTATGACATCGGATCTGCAGAAGGTCACTGTTATGTGTGGGATGAATGCATTGGGAAAAAAGGCCCTAACGAAATTGCTAGCCTTCTATTCGACTTTATAAAACAGAAGGCTTCACAAGGTATAAAAGAATTCCGATTCTATTCCGACTGCTGCGATGGCCAGAACAGAAATCGAATCATATTTCTAATGTATGCTTATGCTTCAAAAATATTTATAGTGAATATTAAAAACAGTTTCTTTGAAGTTGGCCATTCCCAATCAGAAGCAGACTCAATGCATGCTCTTATAGAGCGACGTAAGAAAAATCAAGTGGTTTATGTACCACAACAATGGTACACTCTCATACGCTGTGCTAAAAGCACAGGCAAACCATACGCCGTGAAAGAGGTCAATCAAAATGATATATTTGACTTCAAGTCGTTGCTCAACTTAGTTCCGAATTGTGAATTGGACAAGAATAAAATGAAAATTATGTGGTCGAAAGTTAATTATATAATATGCAAAGGCCAAATATTATAAACTTTCAAAATGATTTTTATAGCGATCAACTAAATTGGATTGATTTGGACTACCACAAAGTAAAGACCAGACGACTGAATAAAAACAAAAATTTGGACACGTTGTGGAGTCATACTTTAGTTATAGCGTATAAAAGCTTACACCCAATCACTCAAAGCAAATACAAGGACTTGATGAGCTTATGCTCCAGCGGTGAAATTCCAGAACAATACAGAATGTTTTATGTAAACTTGCCGCACTCAAACACCGTTACTAATACGGTTGATTTAGACATTGAAGACTAATTGTAGCTATTTTTACCATGCTGGTGGTCTGTGTAGTTCATTAAAATATGTATTACACATTAATTTTTATTATTTTCTTTAATAGTACTTACCATGTTTTTTCAACCAAATGTAACATTAATACACGTTGTAATGTTGCTTACAATATTATTCAATAAATATTTTCCTTTTGTCAGTAAAATACGTGATTGTAAAATAAGTTACAATTGAATACGCTGAAAAATACTTTCAAACGTTTGCATGACCCCATTGTAATGTGAGTTACGATGATTTTCATTTAAAAAATACTTAAAATCTGTACATTGTAACATTGCAAAAGTCATACTTGCAGTTGTTTTGTCAAAATGGCATACATTTCATTTTAAAAAGAAATTAAAATCAGTATATGACACCTACAATTGTATAGACTAACTATACTACAACAGCTGGCAAATAAATAATAAACTTTAAAAAAAATATTAAAATGGCTGTGCTGAAAACTATGACACATTGAGTTACAATGTTATTCATATTGGATGTCGATATTTTGATTATCTATGAAAGTGATGGTGACGAAAATTGAAATTCAATGTTTGTAAAAATCACAATGTTTTATTTTTTTTATAGGACTGGATACCAAACGAATTATATTATTGGTTTCTACATAGCTTCAGCTATCAACAAGTAATGTTTTTATTTAAATATAAAAATACCCGCCCCATGGCCCAAGTTCCATACAAAGCTGTCGGTGTCCTTTGTAAACGTGTAGACAACAATGTTTATGTCAGTACGCGGATGACTTCGCTAAAAATGTTCAATGTTCTTCTGTTAGTGAGAGACAACGCAAAATTCAGTCTGCCCTTGATCTCATCAACAGCATGCTATGACGTGTAGGATTAGATATATCCGCCGATAAGAGTAAATTACGTACGATCACATATCCGCTTACCGTACGCAACTGTTATGGTTACCTATAAGACAGCGCCGCAGTTCGAGAGCTCCGACTGTGTTACACTCTCTTCTCCACTCATCTAACTCACCTACCTACTTAAAATCCCACTTTCAATATCTCTGCTCTAATCATGACAGAACTCTTCGCTCTTCCAACAATCTTCTCCTTCTTTGTCCTTCACATAATTCCAGTATGGTCCATTCTTCCTTCCCTGTTCAAGCTGTAACTCTTTGGAACACACTCCCACTAGAAATCAAGATGTCCACTAACCGATACACTTTTAAGCTTAAAGTACGGAAGCTCTAAAGAGACTTGTTGACGGAGTCATCAGAATAACACCTTAAGAGTATATTTATTATCATATATATTATAATATATTACTCGTATATATTTTTTGTTATTTATTATGATATTTATATGTATTAAATATATGTATATATATCTAGTACTTACATATCTGTAGTATTTGTTGTTTTCTGCCATTGTAACATGGCTTCATTCAGTCTCATCTTTACCTGTCCCAAATATACACCTGCCACACACAGCTTTGCAACACCAAAAGGTTTGACTGGAAGAAAATGCCTGAGGCATTAAGTCCGCCTTATGCAATATGTTTGCAGGAAGACTCAATAAATAAATAAATAAATAAAATCTGTTTATTTAGCAGGGGTTTTCGAAGGTCAGTTTTAGAAGTACATTTGAATGGAGCTTTGTTAGAAACGGTACTACGTCAAGTACCTAGGATTATGGCTGGATAAGGGCCTTCAATGGAAGAAGCATATTAGTGCGGTCCGTGAGCGGATACTTCAATTAAATTTGATTAATATTTTTAGGGTTTTGGTGAGACCTGGGTAGGGTGTTCATCCGAACCACTTAATAAAATTGTATATTTCCCTTATTGGTAGTCGTATTGATTTCGGTAGCTTTTTACTGGACAATACACACATTTGATTAAATTAGACAGATTACAAAACATTTCCTTGCGGTTAATTGGTGGGTTTATTAAAAGTACGCCCATTCACGTGATGGAATCCGAATTAACATTGCCTCCTTTTTTTATTCGTCGCCGATATTTAGCTGGTAAATTTTATTTAAAATCTAGGTGTTAAGATTTCCCTTTAATCAATTTACTGGATAAGCTACATGGTTTTTCTTATAATAAGCCTTATTGGAGAAATAAGAAAAAAATCACTGTTAATTTTGTCTCGCGATGTTCTCAAGCAAGAACATCTGCACTGCAGCAATAATATTACCATGTTCTCAATTGACACTTGGGTCATCAATATGAACTTATCACAAATTGTAAAGCCTAGTTTAAAAAAACCACTGTTAATTTTGTCTCGCGATGTTCTCAAGCAAGAACATCTGCACTGCAGCAATAATATTAGCATGTTCTCAATTGACACTTGGGTCATCAATATGGACTTATCACAAATTGTAAAGCCTAGTTTAAAAAAACCACTGTTAATTTTGTCTCGCGATGTTCTCAAGCAAGAACATCTGCACTGCAGCAATAATATTAGCATGTTCTCAATTGACACTTGGGTCATCAATATGGACTTATCACAAATTGTAAAGCCTAGTTTAGACTCAGTAGATAAACCTAAGCATAGTTATAATGCACATAATCTTTAAACAATATGGTGTAAATCTTTAAATTCACAGTACTCTGGCTTTTACTGTTTGTAGACAGATGGTTGTAGGCACATGAATTACAGCCATTGCAGCTGGGAACGTAAAGCAGACACGTGGTCATCTAGCGAAGATTAAAAACGAATCGAATGCAGTTATTGAGAAGGCGATCTAGTTTATTGAGAAGGTCTGCATTCAGGTCGAAATAACACACATCACCATAGTCGATTAAGGAAATAATTAAGGACTGCATAAGCGTAGCCTTAGGTTTAGAGGGAAAAAAGTTCTTCAAACGATATAAAGCACGCAGACATGTGGTAACTTTCTGGCTGACGTGTGTAACCTGTGCCTGCCAGTCAAGTGTCGATTCGATATATACTGACAAACCAAATCTCGTTGACCAGCTCTTTATAAAGTAGAAGTCTTTGTTGACTTTGACTATGTTATGTCCTCAACCCTTGACTGTGTATACACTTGTAAGTCATAGCGTGTAAGTGATACGTACACTAAAGGTGCTGGGTTATGAGATTAATGAATATTGATAATAATAAGGGAGATAATATACCACCTTGAGGGACACCAGTGAGAAAATCACACTAAATCGACGACAAGTCATCAATATAAACACTCTGTTGTCATCCCTGAAGGTAGGAGGAGAACCATTCCAGAGCTTCTGAGGAGATCATAACACAGGAAAGGATGCCAGTAGAACGTCATGACTAACAGTATTAAAGGCATTCGAGAAATCAATTAAAGCCAGCACTGTGACTCTAGTGTCCTCCATACCCTCCCTAATATCACCTGTCACTTTGAGGAGAGCGGTGGTTCTGCTGTGACCGGGTCTGAACCCAGATTGTAAAGGACTAAGAAGATTCTGCTGATCTACAAACTGTGAGAGCTGCTTATGTACACAGGCCTCAAGCACTTTAGAAAGAAAGGAAAGAAATTGGTCGAAAGTGTTCGGGGAGAGAGGGGTTAGTTTTTTTGGGTAAAGAGATGATTAGAGGTTGCAGAGTCGAGTGAAAAGTTGATGATATGAGATATTGCTGGAAGAACGTGATCTTGGATAGTAAAAATCATGCGACGGCTGATACCGTCTCATCCTACAGCATTGGAACGAATGGATAGGATAATATTTTTTTAGAATTTATATTTAGAAGATACCGGAGAAAAGTCAAAAGATTCAATTACAGAATGGGTTAAACTAGTATGGCGGTGATAAAATAACCCCACCTTCTTTTATTGAAGTCGGTTAAAGTACCTTCTTTTATTGAAGTCGGATAAGGTGCCCTCTTTATGTGAAGCCGGTTAAAGTACCGCTATGTGATGTGGCCACTATGTGTGTGTGTGCGCCACCCGAGACACCCGAACAGGATGTTCGAGGACAATGAGTTTTACCCGCTTCACCAGTCAAATATCGATCCCGACGCAGAGAGGTTGCGTGCGCGCTTGGCACATGTATTCTAACGGAATTCTCCTAGGTTTACGCTTACGCTTAATACTTGTACGCTTGTCTATGGCTGTATTGTAATTGAATTGTTCTATTAGACAATATACGCGTTTGTTAGTAAGACCCGGGGAAAAACAATTATATAATTATATATAATTATATATGGAAAATGGCCTTATATAATTGTATATGAATTATATATAGTTATATATAACTATATATAGTTATATATAGTTAAATATAAATATAATCTCATCATCATCATCAGCCTATCGCTGTCCACTGCTGGACATAGGCCTCTCCCATTGCACGCCACTTAGATCGATTTTGGGCTTCTCGCATCCAGCTCCTGCCAGCCATCTTGCGCAAATCGTCACTCCACCTGGCCTGTGGGCGTCCTACACTACGTTTGCCGAGACGCGGTCTCCACTCAAGAACTCGTTTTCCCCAACGGTTATCGGTTCTGCGGCTAATATGGCCAGCCCACTGCCACTTCAGCTTGCTGATCCGATACGCTATGTCGGTGACCTTAGTTCTCTGCCGGATCACCTCATTTCTGATGCGATCCCTTAGAGAAACGCCGAGCATAGCCCTTTCCATAGCACGTTGAGCGACTTTGAACTTGTGGACCAGCCGTACCGTAAGTGTCCACGTTTCAGCTCCGTATGTCATGACGGGTAGGACGCACTCATTAAAGACTTTCGTCTTAAGGCACAGTGGGATTGACGATGAGAAGACTCGACGTAGCTTCCCAAACGCTGCCCAACCCAACCGAATTCTTCTGTTCACCTCGTCCTCGAAGTTGTTTCTACCTAACTGCAATGTCTGCCCGAGGTACACATAATTTTGAACAACTTCGAGAACGGCACCGTGTACCGCAATCGGTTCCGGTAGTACATGTTCGTTGAACATGACCTTGGTTTTATCCAAGTTCATCCGTTGGCCGATGCGTACAGAAGTGTCAGTTAAGTCATTCAGCATTTGCTGTAGGTCCTGCAACGTCTCTGCCATGATGACGATGTCATCTGCAAATCGCAAGTGAGAGATGTATTCGCCATTGATATTGATGCCACGCCCTTTCCAGTGCAGCGTCTTGAACATGTCCTCCATTGCATTTGTTAACAATTTCGGGGAAATAACGTCCCCTTGTCTCACTCCTTGATGCAATGGTACGGGCCTTGTTTGCTGATTCTGTACTTGGACGGACATGGTGGCGGCTTCGTAGAGACATCTCATCACTTGAATGTATCGCCAATCTACTTGGCAACGTTGCAGGGACTCCAGAACAGACCAGATCTCGATCGAGTCAAAGGCTTTCTCATAGTCCACGAATGCTAGACACAGGGGCTGATTATATTCTTTGGTCTTCTGTATAATCTGCCGCACTGTGTGGATGTGGTCTATGGTGCCATATCCGCTCCGAAACCCAGTTTGCTCCGGTGGTTGGAATTCGTCGAGTTTTTGCGCAAGACGGTTCGTGATGACTCTCCAAAATAGCTTGTAGACGTGGCTTAGAAGGGATATGGGTCGATAGTTCTTCAACCTGGTCTTGTCACCCTTTTCTCTAGTCTAGTTCTCATTTTCGGGATCAGGTCGAGATGCATGCGAAGCGTATAACCGGCCATAGAAGCTTTCCACTTCCAAAAGGACTGCCGGCTTCGAAGCAACGACTTCTCCACTTTCTGTAGTCAACTTTGTCAGGTAGCTTCTTCCAAGAGATTGTACGAACACTTTTGACCCCCGATTTTGCTCGATCGCTCTTTCAATTGAAAGAGTATTGGAGCACCGGAGGTCGTGTCGTACGAGTTTACTGATCTCTCGGTTTAGAGTCCGCTTTGCCGACAAAGTGACAGGTGGGTTTACACGTCGTTTCTTCATCAGCCCTAGGGCCCTTTCTGAAAGCTTCGACTTCCTGCCCTTACGCTGCATTTCACAAAATCTCATACCTTCTTCCCTGAGGATCCGAACCACATTTTTGAGGTTCTGGTTTACGTCGATTGTGGTTTCCACGGCAGCGAATCGGTTTTCCAGTTTTGACTGGAACGTTTCAGATCCTGTCATGGCTTGGAGCCGAGTTGGTCGGAGCCTGGATTTCATCAAACAGAAACGTTCCGCCTTAAAGTTGATATTCAGAGAGCCCCGGACAAGTCGGTGATCACTACCGGTATTAAACCTATTGATCACTAAGACGTCTCTGAATATGTGCTTTCTATCCGTCATGATGAAATCGATCTCATTTCTAGTCATAGCGTCGGGGCTTTGCCACGTCCACTTCCTTTGGGGCTGTTTCTTGAAGAAAGAATTCATCAAAAACAGCCCCTCCCGTTCAAGGAAGTTGACCAGCATTTGCCCCCTATGATTCCTGCTTCCAAATCCATGGGATCCTACTAGCGATTCTATTAGCGATCCTATTAGCGTTGAAGTCACCCATAACAACGTTGTAGTGGATCTTAGTTGTGAAGTGGAGGGCCCTCGATATGTCATCGTACATATCCTCCACCTCGTCGTCCGAATGTGCCGAGGTCGGTGCGTACACTTGCACAACCTTAAAGCTATACCTCTCGGTGAGCTTGATAATGAGGTACGCTACCCTGTTCGACACACTGGAAATTTCCACAACGTTGTCAGATAGGGACTTATTTACCAGAAACCCAACCCCACCTTGGTATTGTTGGTCTACCTCACGGAAGTACATTAGGTGGCCTGACTCGAGGGTTATGGTGTCCTCCCCCTCTCTTCGGACTTCACATAGCCCTAGGATATGCCACCTAATCTTCCCAAGTTCCACCTCAAGTTGCGCCAGATGCGAGTCTAGCCATAGCGTGCGTCCGTTGTACGTAGCCAGGGTCAGTCGGTTGTGTTGGCCTCCCGTAGCCCGGAGATTCTTCGCACCCCCTGCCCCGCCTTTACCGTGGTCGCCACCATGACCAGGAATAGCGGGGCCGCCGGGAACTGGGGGCCGTGGCCTTTGTTGCGTTTGCATGGGAGGGGTTTGCCCATAATCGCCACGCTGGGCAGGCGGGTTGGCGATCGCAGGGCGTAGCTTGTCGCACCGGTAACGCTGCTGCCCGTCACCGGCCTGTTGTATTTAGCTACGCCTATTGGGATGGATATACCGCCATCGGTCGGTCGCCAGAGCCTCGTTCGTCGTTCAGCAGGATGCACCGCGGGCAGGTGAGGTTGGCTTGGGGCGAAAGATGGTGGTTCGCCCCTCACACCCCAAATATAATCGCGATATTAATTTTACTGGATATTCCTGTATTAAACAAAAATTAATTTGAAAGCATATTTTATTCGATAGAGTACATGTATTGAACATCAAATTTATATATATTAGGATATTTATATAAACGCGACTTAGTCATTAATTTTTGGCTTATTGTGATACACAATGGCATATAAACTCCTTATTGCAATAATACATTTTTTATAATTAAACATTTAATTATATCACATTTTAATGTATCGTATTACACACATGCTTAAATAAAACTTTATTTAATATATTATATATATTTATTAATATATGATATATATTTTGATTAAACTTACG